AGCAGTAGAAGTAGTAGTAGCAGCAGCAGCATATACGAGTGGTGCAGCGTAGTAGGAGGAGTGCTGCAAAAACGACGACCACATCGATGACGCCGACCAGATGTTCAGTTGTCAATGCCCCAAAGCTTTGAGGCCAACTGGTGTGAGCAGGAAAAGTCATAGTCGTTTTTCCAGGGGTTTAGGCTTCAAGATTTAGGTCGAATTGAAGTTGAGGGTTTAGGGATTCTAGGGTTCAGGGCAGTAGTTGCCCCGAAGCCAAATAGAAATTTTAATTTGGGCTCTGCCGTCTTCGCCCTCGCGAGTACAGGCTCGCGGAGATTGTTGCTCGGATGTGGACGGCTGGTGCCAAACTCTCAAGCCGAGCCCTACCTGCCGACACACCAATCAGCCGAAGATCCCAGACAAAACTTCACTTGCTTGGTCGCTACCACGACCTTGTCATGCCTATCATGAGGAAACACGACTTTCCCAGCCGTCCTTGGGCTGCGAGCACCTACAGATTGCACCGGTGCGCGGGTGGAGCGCCGCACGATCAAGAAATCGTGGCTTGCTGATGCCCTTAATCCTGGGACCCTTATATACCTACTATATACCCTATACGAACCCTTAAGGGACCCTAGAAAGGCCGAAGGGCAAGAAAATGTCGCTTCGCCCGGGGGCTTGGAAGCTGAGCCCCTTGGGCACAGAGGCCCCAGCCCCAAACCCCTCAACCAAAATTGTCACCACATATGGGAGTTTCCGATAGTTAGGGGTACCTTATTTTGGGGGTCCTTATAATAAGGATCCCATTATTTGGGGTACTATATTAGGGTCCCCTATTTTCTGAAACTCCCATCTAAGGCTTTGGGGCCTTGCTTTTAGGATGACAGTTTACCGGCCCAAGGGGCTTTAGGGCTTGCTTTTAGGGTTGGGTTTGGGGGTTTCGGGGTTTAGGGCTTTAGGGCTTAGGGTTTAGGGTTTAGGGTTTAGGGTTTAGGGTTTGGGGGTTTCGGGGTTTCGGGCTTTAGGGCTTTAGGGCTTGTTTCTAGGGTTCGGGGTTTAGGGTTTTGAAGCTTGGGGGTTTCGGGCTTTAGGGCTTTAGGGCTTCAGGGCTTTAGGGGTTTGGAGCTCCGGTGCCGGCCACTCTAATAGGTGTTTGCTCTTCAGGGACATGCTGAGCAGGATGGAAGATTCTTGCACGTCTGCTGTGCGTGCTAAGCAACACTCTAGATCCCGGAAAACCGCAGCAGGTATAGATTATAGATCAACTGAGGTCTGTGCCACAAAAACAGGGTGCCCCCTGAATCGTTCAAAAAAGAAGCCTCGTCAGAACTCAAAATCCTAAAGCAACAATCTCCTCCTCTGTGGGCCCCTCACATCCTGTATCCCTTAATTAAGGAATATACCTCAAATCATATTAGGGATCCTACTATAATTTAAAGTACATTCCTTGATTAAGGGATGTTGGAGTCTCTGGGGCCCCTCACATCCTCCTTGACCTCGAAGTGCGCCTTCTCGCGAAGGGATCCTGATGCCAAGCGGAGCTCGGTCCACATTTGTCGGGGCTTCGCTTGAGAAAACGCTGCGTAGAATACCTTGCGACACCAACGGCTCAGGGTTGAGGGTTGAAGGCTTGGGGGTTTAGTTCTTGGGGTTTTGAAATGCTTCGGGATTTGTTCCAAGGTCGCTCATGGCTTCAGTGACGGACCTAATCCAGCCTCGGCTCTACCGCCCGTCGATCTCGAAAGTCCTTGATCACTGCATGTGCCACGTCTACCAGTCGACTCCTTTGCAAGTTTCGTGGTGCGCCGATGAACAGAAAGCTAGGAAGCGCGATCGATCTATCTGTGTGTATGTGTACATACATATATATATATATAACAAACGGATAGATGCACAGACAAGTAAGCTTCACCTAGACATATAAACATGCAAAAATACACATGTGCGAGTGTATCTGGATGTTTATTGGTGCATGTATGTCTGTCTGTCTGTCTGTCTATCTCTCCATCTATCTATCTATCTATCTATCTATCTACCTATCTATCTATGTATCTATCTCTCCCTCTCTCTCTCTCTCTATCTCTATCTTTCTTTCTTTCTATCCATCCACCCACCCATCTATCTATCTATATGGGTAATTATGCGCGCACGTTACCACGTATGCACGTATGCACACATGCACGTACATATGTACATCATCTGCTTCTCTGCCTCTTCCTGCCGCTTCCTGCCGCTTCCTGCCTCTCTGTCTGTATGTCTGTAGGTCTGTCGTCCTGCAGTCCGTGGGCCTGCAGGTCTGTGGGCACTGCAGGTCTGTAAGTCTGTGCGTACGTGAGTGTATCCGTCTGTCTGCCGTATTGCCTGCCTTCCTGGCAGTCTATCTCCGTCTGATAGTACTCCTGTATGCAGGCGTAGCATCCCCTGCTCAGCCTAAACCCCCAAGCCCCTAAACCCTAAACCCGTAACCCTAAACCCCAAGCCTGAAATCCTTATCCCCAAGCCAGACCCTAAGTCTTATGAGACCTCAACCTCCCTGGAGCTCTTGCACTAAGCATCAGTAACAGAGCACTGTAAGCCTCAAACCCCCCCCCCGACCCGAAAACGCTGAACCCTAAACTCTGTATCTAAACCCAAAGCCGCTAAGCCCGTGTAGTAGTCCCGATAGATCACGGGAATAGTAATCCTTATAGGAACCCTGGAAGGAACGCTTAAAGGAACCCTGAAAGGAGCTCTATAGCCCCGTGGAATCGGCCTAGCGATCGGCGTTTGGGTACCGTGCGGTCGTCGACCGCCACGACCTCGAAATCTTCCAGCGACTCCTGCGTTGCGTGGGCTTCTGGGGCGCTTGGGTCTTGGGCTGTAAGAAGGGTTCCTATAAGGATCACAAACAGGGATCTATAAGGGTACTATAGGATCACAAACAGGGATCTGGAAGGGTACTATAGGATCACAAACAGGGATCTATCAGGGTACTATCAGGTCACAACCGGGATCTACAAGGATACTATCAGGTCAACTGCTTGTTTGTCACTGGTGATTTGGGCTGCGCTACAGTTCATGTAAGGCGCGTTAACCTACTACGAAAGGGGTTCAAGTCTAGGGTTCTGCGGTGTTCGGCTTCGATCGATTTGGGTTTGCGGCTCTTTTGCATCACAGGAGCCCCCAGACCTAGAAAGCCTTTGAAACCCGAATACAGAACATGCAGCATCCCTTGAGATCTTAGGCCTACGTATTGCTATGTGGGTAATTTTCCAAAATTATCACCCGTCTGGGGAACCCTATACAATTCTACTCTTAATACGGCACCTTATAGTCGGGGACCTATTTTTGACAAGTCTAGGGTCCAGGGTATCAGAGCCATGGATCGAAGCCTTCTGCGGGGATTTTGTCAGACTCAGAGACTTGCGCAAACCTCGCGGACTATGCGGCTTTGGGCTTTGGAGATAAGGTCAACTTAGGGTTTAGGGTGTAGGGTATTAGGGGTTTGGGTTTAGGGTTTAGGGTTTAGGGTTTAGGGTAGTCGTACAGAGAAGGGCTGTAAGCCAACATCCGGCCAAACGCTAGCAAAGCCCTCAGGGGCACTCAAGACACCTGAAGCTTTATCGGGTTACAGGGTTTTATACTATTTAAAAGCCCTCAAAGGCTCATAACGCCTCAACTACGAAGAAACCGGAATGGTTGAAGGTAAAGCACCTTGCTGCTAAACCTTCTCAAGCTTCATAAGGCTTGATAAAGGCCCTCATGGTTTGAGGCATGCTGTTTCATTTCAAAGGGAATGTCCGAATGGTTCAGCATATACTCTTCAGATCAAGGAGTCAGCCGCAAATGTGTAAGGTTTGCTGTAGAAACGAAAGCCTGGTCCTAGAACCCCAAAATATTACGATCGATCAACAGAGCCATTATAAAAACCCAACCTTTCGTAATCAGGCCCCTATATCGCCCCTAAACCCTGAACCCCTAAACCCCAAACCCTAAACCCAAAACCCTAAACCCTAAACCCAAAACCCTAAACTCCTAAACCCCTAAACCCCCAAAGCCCTAAACCCCCAAACCCCTAAACCCGAAAGGCGTATTTGGGGCTCTCGCAGCCCGTCCTGAAGATGCCGAGCCAGGCGCCCGCTGCTGTCGAAGACGAGAAGCCTAGGGAGGTGAGGGCGTAGGGCTTTAAGGGTTTAGGGGTTTTGGGTTTTGGGTTTAGGGGTTTGGGTTTTGGGTTTAGGGGTTTTGGGTTTTGGGTTTAGGGGTTTGGGGTTTAGGGTTTTCAGGTTTTGGGTTCGGGCTTTAGTGTCTAGCGTTTTGGTTTCCATTACCTCTTTGGTCTTAAACCGCAACGGCTGGGCCAGAATCCCACGAAGCTCACCACCGCTGAAGCTCCTACTTGACCTAAAAAGCCAACACTTCTCATCTTGGCCTACTCTAAACCCTAAACCCTAAACCCTAAACCCTTACACCCTAAACCCTACACCCTAAATCCTAAACCCTAAACCCCCAACCCTAAACCCCTACACCCTAAAGCCTTGCCTCCTCATGGGCCAACCCACCTCTGCCAGAAGACTTCGCTCCGAAGCCAAGAGCGGACCAAACTACTTGCAACCCACACTTAAACACGACATCCCGACTGCAAGTCTCCTGGGGTCCTGGGGTTTAGGGTTTCGGGTTTAGGGTTTAGGGTTTAGGGTGAATTCCCCCTTGCAGCCAAAGCCATAAGTACTGCAGACAGCACAGACCCTATACCTAAAACCCCGCAAATCCCAAAAAACTCTACGCCCTCTCCACTGGCCCTCAAAATCACGTTTGGGGTTTCGGCTTTAGGGTTTAGGGTTCAGGGCTCAGGGCTTAGAGTTGAGGGTTTCGGGTTTAGGGTTTAGGGTTTAGGGTTTGGGGTTTAGGGTTTAAGGCTTTTTGTGCGTCCAGGTTGCCGGGGCCGAGGCTTGTGAAGGCGAAGCGAGGGGAGAAAACGCCTCCAAAAGACGGTGGAAAAGCGTGGGCTCAGGGCTTGGGGTGGATAGCTCCTGCATCTTGAAGACTGGCACTGAATAGGGTATAATGTAGGGGCCTTAATAATTACAATAGGGTTTTGGGGCCCATTATAGTATCATTAGAATAAGGAAGCCCCAAAATACTATAGGTAATTATTTAGGCCCCTATATTATACTTGGATCGCAAACAATGGCTCCTGTACAGAGACGTGAGGGCGGCTTTTTTGTGGCACGCAGTGTCTCTGGCTGCAGAACGGAGAGTACGAAAGCAGGTATCTGGATCGCAACTGATGGTGCAAAACGCCTTGCCGTAGCGCGGCAGGCGTTGCAGCAAACAACAAAAATCACTCGTGAGCCGTGACGGTTAGAACGCCACAAGACATCGAGTCCTAGAAAGCCGCCGCCGCGCGCCGACGTACACGATCACCCGAAGGAGAGGAGATCCTCACTCCTCGACATTGGGATTGGCCTTCTTCGGATCGTGAAGGTACTTCAGGTGGAGATCCAGGGCCTCTTTCGTGTCGAAGAGCTGGTTGTTCACCGGGGACTTGAACTTCCCGTTCACTTTGATGCCGACGTTGGCAAGGGTACCTATACTGCACTTAGACCCCTAGCAAAAAAATTAGAGTTTTAGCTCTTTCTTAGGGTTTATAAATAACCAAAGATCAAAAAACTCTATCTAAGTACCCCTAAGGTATCTTAGGGTTTATAAATAACCAAAGATTAAAAAAGATATATCTAAGTACCCCCTAAGGTGCCGTCTCCCGACTTCGCCGCCTCGCTGATTTCCATCTTCCCCTCGCTGCTCATGGCTTCCTTAGTTGCTGAGTTCATAAGCCCCCAAAAAGTGTACACTTTCAGTTCCTTTAACATAGGACCAAGGGTTGATGATATAAATCCTGCATTACCCATGATAAGGCCCCAAAAAGAGTGCACTTTCAGTTCTAGAAGGGATCATATAATCCCAAAAAGTGTAGACTTTCAGTTCGATAAGGGATCATATAATCCCCAAAAGTGTAAAGTGTACTCACTCAGCTACTAAGCTTCGGCTTCGGCGCGAAAGTCTGAGCGGTCCAAACGCGATCGCTCCCCACCAGGACTCGAGCCACTTGAGCCAAAGGTGCCCCGAGGATAGCTGTTGGGGTTTCCTGGGGGGATGTGGCCTTAAGGGCTGGTAAAAAGGGCGGTCAGGCGGTCAGCCTTGATCTCTAAAAAAAAAACAGGCTCTTCGGAGTCTCCAGGGTTCGGACAAGGCCAGAGATTTGGTGCAGTGCAGGCCCTGCTCCATCAACTTTGGACTCTCATAGGAATGAGGGAGTAGGGGGGATTTTGTTCTGGGAGTTAGGAATCAGATTTCGCTTCAGGACTTGGGGAAAATAGAATTTAAGGCGCCCTGAAGTTGAAGAACGTGTGTTCCAGTCCCGGCTCCAGGGCGTGTGATCCTAGGAGAGCTACCCACATCCAGCATCACGTAGCAATGAAAGATCACCGAATATTTGCGCGTGCGGCCCCTTGCCTCTGCCACTCGTGCAGGAGGGGCCCAAGCAAATCGATGGTCGTCCTGCCAGCAGGAGGAGACGCAAGTAATGTAGGAACCTGATTAAGAAACCCTGGCCACATCACCCCAATATATTAGGGTTCGTATTAAGCACCTAATAAACTATATTAAGCTTTTCATAGCTTCCAGTTCAGGGCGCAGGGATCGAAACCGCAAGCGGCAGCCAGGGTACGAGCACTGGATGGACCTGATGCCAATGAGCTTACTACAGAGACTTAGTGGTGAGACGTATAAATAAGATAGCACGATCTACAAGTACTTGCAATCCCAATTGAAGGTATTGCCCATACCAGCAAGCTAGTGGTGCCAGAGAAGAGTAGTTACAGCCAACATTCGCAGGAATCATGCACAGTACCGTAGCAACGATGCAGTGACAGCAGGAAATGATGAGTGCTCTTAAAAATCACAACACCGTCGTGCTAGCGGCAATACGAACACTGATCCTTAACATTGACAATGCCCCTCATGACATGACATCACCGTCCAACACAAACCCCAGACCCCACGTAGAGAGATCTGACAAACAAGAAAAATGGATCCCTTTATAGTCCTTCTACAACTAAGGTGAAATATACCCCAGTGCCCTTTTCAAAAAAAGTTCGAAAGCTTCTGAAAATAGGGGGCCCTCATATCCAAGGACCCCAAAATAAGGTACCCCNNCCCTTATTTTCGGAGACTCCCATATTTCGGAAACTCCCATATTACTCAAGGGGCCTGGGATGGTGCTTGCAGCTCGGGGAAAGCATCGGCTTCCCACTTGCACTCAGCTCCGGCAGTAGCCCTCAAGGGTGTGCTTCTTTTTTCTTTGGTTATAGGGTTTAGGGTTTAGGG